TCCGCGTTTATTATCTTTGCGCGTAACAATTAAGTTTAGTCCTCAGTTTGTTTTTTTTTTTTTCAATTGTTTTCTCTGAACATGTTTTCTCTGAACGTGTGAAAGATCCTCGCGTTGTTGACGTCTGAGAGAATAAAAACAGCTTTGTATTCTCTTATCTGTCTGTACATCCGCTTTAAATCAGTCCGCCCGACAATCTGATAAGTAGCATCTGCCCCGGTCATCGATGTCGCTCTGAACATTATAGTCTCTTATTTAGATATCATTTGAGAAACATCTGATTCCTCTACATCAGGTTCTTTTCCTCATCGTCCGTCCGCCTGAGAGCGTGTCGTTTTACACAAACGCACACATACTTTTATTCTTCCGAATAAAATTAAAATTTTATCCAAACAGTATGAATTGTGAGATTTTCTTGAAAAAGAAAATGAAACGCGGGTTGTAACCGGGGAGAAGCTTATCGGGACGTTACAAATCGCATCGTCGTTACGTCGTTTTCCATCGCAACCAACCTCCGGCGTCAATCGAAGTCGCACGCGATAACGCACCGTCCGCGCGGCATATGCCCGTTCTCCGAGAGAACGAGAAGACGGACAGGGGGAGGGGGAGAGAGAAAGGAAGGGCAGGAAGGGTGGACTGGAGGTGCGATCTTCGTCATTGTCACGAGGCTGACACTTCGGGGTATCGAGGCCTCGGTATAGCCATTAATAATCTTAGCCCGAACGAAGAAACAAAGAGGAGGAACAGGGAGAGAGAGGAGAGGGCGCGGGTACGCAGCTCTCGGGTTCGCGCGTGCACGAGACGTTCGTTCAACCACCAAGCGGCCCGTTTCTCCTCCTCGTGTGTACGTGGCAGGTACGTTCGAATGTGTCCGATGCGTCCGATAGGGCGGGACACGGGCATAAACAATTGCGCGGCGGCCTCGCCCCTTCCCGATGCGATGTAATAAAACGAGAGGTCTCTTGCGCCGAGAGACCCTCCTCCGCCGCCCCCCTCCGCCCCCCGGTCCCGGGAGAGAAGTTCTCCTCGTTCCTGGGCCCCGGGGCCAGGAATATCGAAATGAACCGGCGTCCGCGCGATATTTCAGCGAGCCACGGGGGTCGTACGTACGCCGAAGCCCCCCCGACCTCCTACGAGACCGTGTTCACCGAGAGATCACGGGCGTTCAATTGAAAGCCGAGAGCTTGGCAAGTTTTTTTTAATATCGTACGTGATCATTGGCGAGATTACGCCGAAGTGCGTATGCACACCTCCCAAAAAGGAAAACTCTTCGTGTTCGCGCAACGGATCGTTCAAATAGTCCGTAATTATTATTGCGGCGGAAATGAATCTCAAGAAGGATTCAGCTCTTGTAAATAAGCGAGCGATTAATCAAATCACGATGCGAGAAATCAATGTACGGTGGAAACCGATAATATCGCCGGACTTTTACTATTGCGCGATCATTATTTCCGGTTATTGCCGTGCCGACATGGCGTGCCTTTCTTTCTCGTTTTACGCGCTCGCGTATCGCTTTTCAAACGCTTTCGACTCATTTCAATCTTTTTACCGCGAGCCTTGCCTAAAATAGGAAGTAAGAGGTTTTAATTGAAATAAATGTCACGGAGCGCGCGCGCAAAAAAACATGAGATTTCGAGCCGGTCCCGATTGAGAAAGGGGTCGGGAGAGGGAGGGAGAAAGAGGAGCCAACGTTCTTTGCTCTGCTTCGGGCGATCTATATACGACTTTGGACAACTGAACCGTGTCGGTTCTTGCGCTGTTGATTAAGCCGAATGGCGAACCTGAAGCTTCCTAATTTATTGCGGCGCATTATCGAGAAAAATGAAGACCTACACGGTAGATTAAACTCCCATGCGTTCGTCCCGACACACACGCTGGAAATAAAAATAAGCAAAATAAGTTCGTGGAGAAACAAGTAATATCGTAGAATAAAATCGTAGAATTTACAGCTGGATTTAAATTTGTATCAATTCGATGTTCAATGCGTGTGAAAAGATGATGAAATTTATTAGAAAGTGCAAACAGATTTATTTAAACAGGAGATTTGTGAGAAATTTAAAAATTCTTTCCTTTAAAAATTCGAAATTAATCCCCCGCCCAAAGTTCTTTACGTTCGTTTCTTGACGCCAGGAGAAAAGATTCCCAATTTCAGGGATTAAACGATTCTAACGCGCATTGACGAAGTGACCGCTCGAGACTGCTCCTTTTCTCAAAAGTAGATTAATACCGTAGCGATGAAAAGCAAGCAACGAGCAAAGGAAAGGTTTGTAGAAGAAGGTACGAAAAGGAGAGAGAAAGAAAGAAAGAGAGAGAGAGAGAGAGAGAGGTAAGGTGAGGTGATGGTCGTTTTCCTGCGGCAGGGCGGACAATAGCAGCTCCACGAAGTGTAGCGGACAAACAAATAGCCAATTAAAATTCCGGTTGCACGGCGAACATACTTGTATCAGCTGCAGTACTACCAACCATTGTGCACCGAAGGCATGCGCGAGCCAGTGTCTGCGGATCGGTTGACTGGCTCCGGGTACCAGAAGATCGGTTGCTTACGACCGTGCAACCTTCGAGGGCTATCTCCTCCGCGGCGAGCGGAGGCTCTCGTTTGCACCGTCTTACTCGACTAAATCTTACCTCACGAGACATCGTTATCGTCGAATCACGCCTTTATCTCGCTCGATTCGTGTCCTTCTTCGTGCGGAGTCTCTCCTCGTGGCGCGCCTTGCGTTCGAACATCGCGCGGTTACACGTAGCAATTCTCAAACGCGCGGATTGTGAGAAAATCGGCGAGCGATACTCTGTCACATATGTAGACGAGAAATTTCCGTATCGGCGATTTGCATGATTTTTCTCGTTTCTCAACGTTCGATAAAATTCACATGATTAATTAAGGCGGAGAATTAATTAAGCGAACCGCTTCTCTCGCGGCGCTTAACTATAAATGTCAGATACGAAATTGCTTCCTCACCTCCGATCCTTCCGATTCCCGATTGCGGCGCGGATGTTATTAGGAAATCGTTTAATTGGTAAGATACCGATTTTAACTGGCATTATGAATGGCCGTAAGTGTCACGGGGTCAATAAAAAGATACAAAACGTATTATCCTATTACAGTCCCACAGCAACCTGGCGAGGGTAACCGAGAGAGACTCGGATGAGATAACCGAGAGTAAAATCGCGAAGAGAGCGAGAGAGCGAGACAGAGAGAGAGAGGGAGAGAAAAAGCGGGAGTCGGTTTTATCGGTCCAGTATGGTGCGAATTACAGCGATTGCGTTCCCCAAAGTTCGGACATTGTGACAAAAAAAATCGCGAGCTATCGCAACCGATCGATATCCACCGATGCTCGACGATTCTCCCTCGGCGCGGTGAGAATGAACGATTACTAAATTACAACGCGCCCTTAGATACGATCGGCCGGCCATAATTGCAGGACTATTCATACATTATTGGCTCGTATATTATTTGAAGCGATTCAATAACTCTGCAGCGCGGGATGGTCGATGGTATCTCCGCGTCGTTAAGGCGCATTCGCAATATCGATCGGGGCCTGATGAATGGCCACGTTTAAGGTCGTCAATTTTCCCAGCGATTATTAACGTTAAAATTGAATGTGTCCGTGCGCGCGGATCGGCCCGGATTGGACCGCGCGCGAAAAACGAGGCCTCTCGTGCAGGCAGATCCATCTTCGAATGTGTGTTAAAACCGCGCGCGACGGTCCAAACTACCGGGAACGCCTCGTTCGCTACTCCTAAATGCACCGAGCATGATTTATCGGCGCGGCCTCTAAGAGTATAAATGGAAAAAGTTTTACTTTTTTAACTGCAGATGGTCAAGATTGTCGCTCGAGCCATTATATCTCGTGAGCGTCGAGGAGTTTCTTTCAACGCGTACGTCGGAACGAATATACGGCATCGCATGTTTGCTATGAAACCCCCTCCCCTCCCTCGCTCCCGGACTCCTTAGGCCCGGGATCTCGTGGAGATAATATAGCAATATTGACGTTAATAATCTCCTGTCCACTCATGCGCAAATAAATGATAACTTCGACGATTTTTTTTGTTTTTGTTTTTTTTGTTTTTTTTTTGTTTTTTTTTTTTAAGACTTGGACGAGGCTTCCTCGATATATTCGAGCATTTATTTTACGTAAATTTTCATCAAGACGTGATTACAGAGGTATCGAACGCGCCGCTAATTAAAGATGAAAAGATAAAAATTCTTTATGAGTTTTTTACGAACAAAGTTTTGGAGAGAGAAAGAGGCTAAGTAATGCCGTTACAATTTATGCGTTATAAAAACCTATCTTTATCGATGACAATGTTGTTTCTTTGAAAAATAAACTTGCTTGAAACTTTCATTGGTAATTCGAGGAATTTCAGAAATTCAGTACACAGTGATGATTTAACGTGTGACACGAGGGTTAATTATTTCATTTGGAACGGTCATTAAAATCGTACTTATTCGCTGCGCGATCAAACTAATAGCTCTTGGCGTATTATTTCACGCGTGTGTGCGCACGCGCAGATGCAACCACGCGCGTGGTGGATGTATATATATGTATATATATATATATATATATATTCGCGCGCGCGAGAGTGTGTTGTGTGTATCCGGCGAATTACGGAGCGCGATGGGAGGAATGGAGAGACGAGGAGGAGAGAACTTGCGTTTCTCTACGACGACTACCTGCGGCTAATTTACAGCGCGGCGAGCGGATAAGTTCCGCCGTTATTCTCCCAGCTAGAGTTTCTCTCGTGGGATTACCTCCTCCTCCTCTCGCGAGAACGGTTCTCTCTTCCTCGTATAACGGAGATACTCGATTTACCTTCAAAAACCAATGCCTCGTTTCTGCGTAGGCCGATCCGGATCTGCATAAGAGCGCGAGCTTCAGCCGTACTCTTCCTGGGCCGGTCCGCGACTCATTTAAAAGCCTCTTCCTGAGAAGCAACGGCCACCTCGTCGCTACGTCCATCGAGATAATAACCTCGTGGGACAGGAGAGTCACGCGATTGAGGTAATGAGAGTGATGAGGTGACATGAGGCCGGTTATAAAGCGTTAACGCCGCAGATGATGTGAGAGCAGTTATGCCAAAGTACCTACACAGCGGAATTAACATTAAAAATTAACATTAAAAATTTCTATCTTATGATAAACACACGATGTCGTGTGTAGCTACTCGATAAAAAAACGAACGGCTGGCAATAGAAGCATGGCTGACGAAAGATCTGACGTGGATAAAAGAGACGACTTTTTAGACGACAGCCTCGCCGACGGAGAGGTGCGAGACGAAACCATATACGATGAAGTGAGTCGAAAATAAAACGTTCTTCGTTATTTCTAACAACTAGAGACGCAACGAATAATATATTCGGGATCTAATCGAATATTCGGTGAATGTTAGACGTGGATTAAAAATAATGCGAAATGATGAAATAGACCTAGTGAGGCTGATGATGATCTAAAAAATAAAGATCGAAACGTTCCTCTGATCTCTCTCCGTTTTGGATTCAATTTCGATTTTATTTAAGCCACCTCTTCTTGGTCTCATAGCTCAATCTTGGTTTCATAGCTGGAAGGTCTATTTCACCATTTTGAATTATATTACGGCTGTTTTTTTGTTCTTAAAAATAATGCGGTTGGCGTGCGGCATTTCCAACTGCGTCTCTCCTCGTCAGCGCGCATGTTGTGACAAGTTTGTTTGCTTAGTGTAGCTTAAATCGCGCGACGTTAAAAGATGTGAGTTCGTTTTTACTAAAATTATTTCATTACTTTTATAAAAAGTGTACACGTACAATTATGACTTCTACAAGTAAGAAAAAATCGTCCATATCAGAGCCTTCCAACTGATCACGTGACTGCATAGAGATCTTATGGCGTAAACCGCGTGCCGTGTGCGAATTGAAAGGCTCTGGTCTATACGTGGACATATTTTATCGAGTGTGAACAATTTTTTAATGTTTAAAACTATTCGGTACTTGACCCAAATAGTGAGCTAATTATTCGATGTTCGACTGAATATTTAAAAAATTGCCGATTAAACAGAATAACCGAATAAAGTTTTCTAATATTCGTTGCGCAACTCCACTAACAACACTTGAATTTAGAAAATACAAATAACTTGCTAAAATATATTATTTTTAAAAGCGCATTTACAAGACAACGTGTTTTTAATAATAGATCGGTAGAACTCCAATCACGACAACTACCACAAAGAACGCTCTAGTAACGACACAGCTCGGACCGTGCGACGTTTATCCGCATCATGTCAAAGTCTCGATCTTGGGCACGAGAAAAGTCGGAATGGCTTGCGCCATCGCGATTCTGATGAGAGTTAGTTATATTCACACAGCACAAGGCAGCACGCGCGTGCGCGTCTAACTGACTGTTTAATTTCGCATGATTTTTAGCGAATAGCGAGCGAAATCTGTCTGATCGATCAAAACGCGGAGAGAGCTTCCGCCGAAGCCGAAGACGTTCAGCACGCCGGTATGTTTCTCGGATGTCCGCGCGTGACCGGCACGTCAGGTACTTTATTACATTTTTATCAATTGTATTTTATTGTAGCTGTAAAATTATCGCTTTGTGTGAAAAAGCGAGCGCAACGATATGTAAATATTATAAAGCGTTAAACTTGTTGCGTTTGACAAACAGTTGATTTGGACTCGCATAGATCAGATGAAATATAAGATCTTACCTAACGATAATTTAATTGCAATTTAATTATAATGTAATTATAATTTTTTTAGTCGCTTTATTCATCGAGTATTTTTAAGAAACGATTAGTCATCGCATTAATCCGGATCAAAGTAAAGAGCGGTGTTGAAGCTGTCGGTGATTCACACTCCGAAACGAGTCTCTCATCTCGTCCATGCTTTATTCATGATCGGGAAATCAACGAATCGTAAACTCTTCTGCAATGAGAAATAAGGTTTCCGCTTGTGATGGAGCGGGGTGACGGCCTTCTTGACAGTTCAGAAATTCCAGAAATTTTAAATTGATACGTTCGGACTGATGAGCCTGCCGAGCGTCACCCGTGCGCCGCGATCGCCGATCCGATCGACATCCATTTTAAAAGAGACGAGCCGTCAGATTGTCCGCCAACGGGTTCCTGTCAACGTGCACCGGATCAGAAATAACGGTCAGCAGCGCTGTCGCATAGATGGAGAATGGGTTTTGGTTTAGCAGCGAGTTTTGGGGACAAGAAGATCCTTTTCCCCTTCCTCGGGTGGAACCTGCTCTTTTAATCTCGATCTCCATCTACGCATCGCCGCGTGCTTATATATACCCGGGCGAGCGTTTCCCTCGAGCTTTCCACCGACACGATCGTAAATTTCGTCACTCTTATTTTATCTCAACCACGATCGACGTCACGACACGGTTTTCTATTTCTTTTCTGTTTCCCCCCAGTGTGCGTTTATTAACGCGTGATTGTTCCGGCGTGTTGCATTTCTTAGTATCCTTCTTGAAAATTCAAAAAAAAAAAAGTAGTAAGAAAAATGTGACAATAGGTACGCGCTTGAGAAGCTTTTATCGAATATATATCGGGTGAGTTCCGATCTCAAATATATGATTTGAGTTTGAATTTTTCTTCGTGTCGATCTCGAATGACGCTGACATGCGTGAGAGCAAGGAGGGGGGCGTAGCAGAATTTTTCTGATCTTGTCTCGTGCGAAGTAGCAATTACCGGAACAAGCGGGACGACTTTTTTACGGTCTTGCTAAGTTATCTGTAACAACATCTCTCCGTCTCGTAAACGCATCTTTCGTATATAGTCGCGGCGTAACACCGACACGTGTGTTACTACAAGCATTTTGTGTGTCGCCTCTCGGATCTCTCTGTACTCTTTGTTTTTCCGACTACGCCGAGTTTGTCTTCTGCGTCTCGTCTTTTTTATCGGTCTTTCATCTCTTCTCGATACCGAAAAACGATCTTTCTCTCGAAAGGAGAGAGAGAGAGAGAGAGAGAGAGAGAGAGATCTTCTTTTCTTCCTTTCTTGTTCTCGTTTTGTATTCCACGCGCTTCCGAACGGCTGATGATTGCGTGCGGTCAGAGAGTAAGACGTTCCGGCGAGAAAAATTTTCTCTTCGGCAAGGCGTATCTGATGACGCTTAACCGAGCTATTTCCCGTTACGACTTCTTTCGCGGAGAATATCCGAGCGCTCATCACAAAAGACTCTTCGGAACGGAACGCTTGCGTCTTAAATCTTTTTTTTTGGGGGAAAAAAAAGATCTTGTCGTCAAACGTTTTCTAAAGAAATCCCGCAACAATTCAAGATCATGACGATATCGATTGCATTCCAGATATCTATAAGGTGAAGGACTCGACGGTGGTGGTGATCGCGGTTTGTGAGAGAAAACCCGGCGAGGAACTGAACGTGAAGCACAACCTCGAAGTATTTAAGAAGATCATCCCCACCGTGTCGAAGTTGGCGTGCAAGGCGGTGCTGCTGGTCGTAACTCAACCGATCGACGTGATGTCGTATATCACCTGGAAATTGTCCAAGTTTCCGTCGAGCAGAGTACTTGGCACGGGTACTCTGCTCGATACCTCCAGGTTTCAAGATTTACTGAGCCAGAAGCTGGGACTGGCGCGCACGTCGATTAGCTGCGTGAATATTGGCGCGCAGGGCGACACATCCGGTACTCTTTGTCGACACTCTCTGTGACTAATCTTGCGTACCAGCATTTATTACAAGCAAGAAAATTTTTCTATCGAGTGCATCTTCAAAAGACAATGGTTTATTAAATATCGTTATTTTTTTTATTACTATCCATATACATAAAGTGTCCAAGTTGAAACAGGCTACTTAAATACCTGGTTTTTAATGACACAAAAACCGTTTATGACACAATTTGAATGGTTTCGAAGGAAGAAACTTATACTACAGAAGAAGACTCAAAACAAATTTTTCAAAAAAATGAATGATGTTTTTTAAGGTCATAGGCTTCAAACACAAATTCGAATGTATTTTTCTCATCTGCTGTAAGATGCAAGAGAAAAAATACACGCTTTCTTGATAAAAAAAAAAAAAAAAAAAAAATATCGACTTCGAAAAAACCAAAAATTTACTCGACAGAAATAATTTTTCTTTTATTTTATTTCTATTCTCCCGAACACGTTGTGTAAATATTTAACGTTTTTTTTTTATGTATCCAATCGCGCATCATGTGCGTGTTTTAGTACGCATTGTAAATTGATCAAACAGTTAACGGCTTTAAACATCTGGTGTTTTACACACAGTTTCCATATGGTCGAGCGTAAGCGTGGCGGGCACGAAGATACGGGACATAAACGCAAGAATGGGCGAAGCGGATGATCCCGAGAAGTGGCGCGACATCTCCGTAGCTGTAAATAAAATGTTAGTAGTTAAAAGATCGTAGGACGTTTCCGACAGAAAAACGTTGTTGGGAAAGGTAAATAATAAGATTCACATGCGTGTGTTTGTTGTTTTATAGCGACGCCGAACTTAACCGGAAGAAAGGCGAGACAGGGCCGAACTGTTGGGCTCTCGGCTTCTGCACCGCTGAAATTGTCGACGCCATCGTCAGGAATACGAAAGTAGTGTTGCCTGCGTCGACGTACATATACGTAAGAGTTACAATTAAATATTGTTTCTATCGAGTAATACACAACACTACTACTAACAATAATAATAATAATAATACAAAATAATGATACGTACAAAACACTACAGAAAACTATGCGTCAGAGCATTTATTCTTAGCCGGTTATCCCATTTCCTTTTTGACCTTTTGATATTCTTCTCGAATAACTGCGTGTTAAACAAACGTGTTTCAAGGCGTTCGCGCGGGCGCGCGCTCACTTGCATGTCGATTGGCATGAAGAGGAGACAAGACGAAGAAAAATTTCTGTTCGCAGACCTGCTCCCACGGGACCGACAAAGACGTGTACATGTCGTTTCCCTGTGTTCTCGGCCGGGAGGGTGTGCACGCCACGGTACGGCAGAAGCTAAACGAACAGGAAAAGACAGCGGTGGAACGGTGCGCCGACAACATCCGCAACGTGCTGCGCGAGTGCGGCATTCTTCGCGAATCGACGACCGACGTTGAAGAGTGACGACTGACTGCGGAAGAAAGACGAAGTCGGGAATCACGGAGAATCTGCGAACGGATAACGCGACGGAAATCGCAAAGAAGGGGAAGAGAGGAGAAAAGAGAGAGAGAGAGAAAGAGAGAGAGAGAGAGAGAGAAAGAAAAGAAGCGATTTAGAATACATCTTCATCAATAAAGACGATGCATCTGGCGGACGCGGTTTCCGCGTGCCGATACATAACCGATCGCCATTATAAACGACACGTATGAGTGAAACTCGGCTTCCTGGAAAATTAAACCGAGCATGAGATTGCTCGGTGCATGCGCAACTTGGCGCGCCACAATGTTCGATGCGTGCGGGGCTATTATCGTTTCTTTTTTTTGTTCGATCGAATTTTGATTTACGCAGCCCGACGATGCACGACGTTAAGGTGAAAGGGCGAATGAAAATGCATCATCCTCTCTCCGTTGCACGTGAAGCGGGTATTGCGGCTCGGGTGTTGCGGCTCTCGAAGGAGATTGGATAATTTCAACTACAACCAATCTTTTTCTGCGTTAGCCTTTATACTACTTTGTGCGTAAGCGAAATTGTTCCCGTGTGTCACATGTACATACAGAATAATAATAATAATAATAATACAATTTGTGATTTTTGCAAACGTAATAATTGGGGAAAATTGAATGATCCTTGACGCGAAATAGGATTATATAGTCTTGCGATAATAGCGAATCGAAATTGACTTCGCGATATATATATAGGAAGATGGAACGGGAGCCGATTCCGGAAGACCCTTCTCGAATGGCCCGGCGAAACGGAAATTGGAACCATCTCTCCGGGAAACGCACGACGCATCCCACCTGTGCGAATCGAACAGCTGTCAACTCAATTTCCGAGACCTTCTATCTCTTGAAAAAAAGAAAAAAAAAACGAAAACTGTAGCGCGGTAACAGCGCGCATTTCAATTGCCGATTTGTTTTTGTACATCTGCTCAGAGTGTTCATCGGTTTTTTGTTTTTGTTTTTGTTTTTTTTTTTGTGTAACGAGCGCATTTTTTCCAATTCTATAATTGATTTTGTAAGACGCGATTGAATTTATCGATAGCATCTTCCCCATTCGTTGATCGAACGTGTTAATCGAATTGTATATCTTCCGCTACAAGATGGCTTGAAGTTCACATCTCGTACGGTACGAGCACACACGAGATACACGTACACGTGTGTGTGTCGAAGAAAAATTCTCGCATCGTTCCGTTATGCAAAGCCAATTCGACCGCCACGTTGTTATTGTTATTGTTATTCGTTGTGTCCTTAATTGGCAAAACGAAATCTACTTGTTACGCACTTTTATATCTCCCAATAACTTCACGGCCTTCCTGTCAAAGAGTCTCTCTTCGACTGTCTGCTTTTCCGACACGTTTCTCAATCTCTCACGTCACAAAATTTTTAATGCGGACCGCAAAATTTCGGAAAGTGTCAATTAAAGACATCAATCACGATGTCAATCGGTTTCCGGTTTGTTTAAATTGTCTAGATTGTCGGATTGAAGTCGAAAAGTTATCGGTGCGTCGGAAACGATGACGGAATTGAAAAGAACACCTGACGTTACCGGCAACACGGTGACTTTTTTACTGACCAAACAGGCGGAGCGTCTTGTGGACGGCCATCACGTCAAGGTCGTTGTCGTCGGTAGTGCACCGAAAGGCGTTGCGGTCGCTATAGCGATTTTATTCAAGGTAACGTGTTTTCAATTTCTTTCCAAGAACCTAACCTTTTAAATCGCACTCTTCGATTGTTAATTAATATTATTTATAAACAACACAAGAGTTATGTTGTATAATAACGACTAAATCGCATTATTATCGCGTTATTAGTGTATGAAAATATAAAGCGCGCGTGTGTACATACATTTTTCGTCATTTATATATTACGAAAAAAAGCGTCATCTCACGCGACGATGCGCATGTGCGCAATGCGCATTGTTCACTTGAATTTATCGGGCGATACAAATCGGATGCGATCTAAACACGATGATTCCACGCGAACGAGATGTAGCGCCATATTCGCATTAGCTCCGAGCGCGTATTTGCTCGGCGGAGAATCGAAGTTTAAATACCGATTCACGTTGACGTGAAGGAATACTTTCGAGTTGCACGCAACTCGAAAAGGGACCGAGAGAAATGCCCGGAACGACGTATGCGGGTTCGCGCATGCGCACACGCGCGGGGGAAGGAGCCTCCTGAATGTAGGCTCGTTAGCGTGCCGGCCTCAAAAAGGCTATTATGCAAATGTGATCCACGGAAGACCAGAAGAGGAAATTCGGCGATAGGGGAAAAGAGCGGGACGCGGAACGTGAGAGAAGAACCAGGTAGAAGAAAGAAACGGCGAAAGATAAAAGAGAAGCCGGGGCATCCTTTCGCTCGTTATCGGATCGTAACGCGAGCATTTACACGTCGGCCATGCGCCCCCGCAGGACGGCTAGTCGATTGATTTATGTTAGCGACTAGCGGGAGAGAGACTTCGCGATTTATACAACGATCCGTCTGAAATGCCTCCGAGAAACGCAAACAGTGTTTCCGCATATTATATCAGTTTCATCTGAGACTTGGCGCGTGAATCATGTTTTGAAACAAAATTCTCAAGAAACTCTTTTGACGAGAACATTTGTACGGTTGAAGTCGTAGAAATGCGCGTTTATTTTCATTCTAAGAGAGTCTAAGAAAAGAAACGTACATATTTTTGTCTCCTGCTATTATTCAATCGTTAACCGAAAGGAGAACAAAATAATTTCGAATTCTAGGAAGAGGATCGAGGTCTCTCTCTCGTAATTACCGGAGTTCTACTCTGTAGTACTTTGTAAACGTTGTTAGATCACCGTTTTTCATCACGCGTGTGTTTCATCAAGAAAAAAGCTCAAGTTGAACCAACGCGATGTGAACCAACGTCGTCACAAAGGCGCAACAATGTGATATTCGTGCGCCACCCGGTACTTTCCGGTAGAAAGTAATATAAACGTAGGCGACTAATTTTGGGTTTCGGTTTCCGTGAAGTTAGCAGAATAAACAATGCGGCGGGACGCACAGGATACGCGTGTATCTTCACGGATCGTAAACTTCTCGTTGAGTAATGTTAACAATATGTATATATTGAGATACTAAATAATATATATATATATATATATATAGCGGAGAGTGTATTGTGCGCGCAAAAGATCGTCGAGAATATCCGGCATATTAGGGACCTCGTTACTGTCGGGGCTATACCAGCCCCGATTATACCACATCGCCTGTGCCTAATAATAGTTTTTACGGAAAATTACTCGCGTCTCGAAGCATAATACCACGGATCATTTCAAAAAAGTTCGCTCTTAACTATGACAAACGACTTCCCTTCTGCTCTATTACATTTTCCTCAACTCTTTGATTGTTTGACTGTTCAAAATTTCGGTGGCACTTTGCTTTTCCCAAATGCGAAGATGTCCCGATTACCGTAACGTCGAGAGAAACAAGGAGATGCAAACACGAAGAGTAAGAAATGAGAGAGATACGGCCGAGTCGTGCTGTTGCACCTCGCGTCGTAGCTTGGCAGATCGCATCAACGAGATCATCGCGAAATACGAACGTACAACTACCACGGTCTACCGTCCACCTTGCGGATCTGCCGTAAGTTTCTGCGAGTACACGCGCGAGGCATTCCTCTTCTTCTTCTTCTTTTTCTTTTTCTCTCGTCCTGCTGCGACACACCATGTTGAATGACCTGCATCAAGCTGTGTGAATTACACCGGACAAAACAGAAAGATGTGTCGTGCGCATATCCGGGCCTGAATCTCTACGTTATATATTTAATATTTTCGAGTATATTCTCGCAGCCATATTGAATTACAAAACTAACGAGGAATTCATGCGCATAACCTTTTTTTTTTGTTATAACGAAGAATTGTACACGTCTCTATTAGTACTTATCAGAGAAATACTTAGACTTGTACAAGAGTCATGCGCACTAGGTGTACGTGTGCTAAATAGTTTTATATACAAAGTATAAATTAACAAATATTGTAATTTAAAAAACTATATTAGATGCTCGATTTGCATCTCGCGTATAAAAAAAGAATCTTTATGTCGTTGAAGTTAAGAATGTTTGTTGAACGAAAAAATATATTTTGACACACAAAAACGTTCCAGGCTCTTTCTTTTCTGACAAATTGGACGTAATTTATTGTGTAATATCTATTTGTCTAAATAAGATTTTTACGTTTCGAAAAGGCTTTATTATATTATTCCCTGCGCAACAAAATAACACGCAGTAGAACATGATTTTGCGACATAGTATAAGAAGAGTTAAAAAAATACAGTTCGAGAAAGTAAATAAAAAACATAAAAAAAATAATAACTTTCAAAATTGAACGTTTAATGAAATAACATATATTTCAAATATAAAATAACTTTCCATTTAAATTGAAAAAGTAAGTAAAGTGAGAACGTCAAACATATGAATTTGAGGGCCAACGCGAAATAGATACTGATTAGTGGTGTAAATTTGTTCAATAGCAAAATTATATTATTTATTAAACTTTTTCCGCAATAGTTTAAATCAATTAGGTAGGATATTCGGGGCCTATCATATATGAGATGCAAAACTAGCATCCTATATGAATTTAAGAATTGAAATTTCAATTCGAAAAACACGTGAAAAACGTGAATTTACTTATATGTGTGTACACACATATAAGACATATTTTCCGCACAACATCCTGCGAACGGCTCTTTAAGACTAATTATTTATTCATTTATTAAGTTTAATAAACTTCACGAGCCTGAGGAGATCCTCAATTTAATATTGATTGTTATATTATTTATTCAATAGTAAATTTATTCAATAGCGTTTCGATCTTCCTAGTTTCGGATCTTCCTCAATGGCAAACAATAATTTTCTAGATAGATTCGGGATGTACATCAGCAAACCTCAGTCGGATGAATAAAAATTTTTAAACGATGTACACGTCGAATGAGAATAATTGGTCGTTCTCGTATCTCGACACAAGTAAACATTTTATACCGACGACGGCTGATTCAGTACTAACGTGAATAGGATCGAAACGTTTGGCTATTGAACACACTTATAATTTACACGACTAACCAGTAGTATCTACCTCGCATTGGCTCTCAAATTCACATGTTTAAACCGTTCATTTGTTCGAACGTGAGTGCGCCGGCAAGGCGTACGTAATAATACGCGTGTTTGTATCCGACACGGATCTAAGAGAATAATGCTCGTTAGTTTTTACGAGGTTATCTTACATGTGCTATCGTTCGAATATCTCTCATTAAAAACCGCAAATCAGCATGCACGAATTAAAACTAGTTTTTCGAGAGCCGCTCTCGAAGAGAGTCATTAGAAATTAATGTAAATTAACGCGACGATCGCTCACCGCTCGTTCGCACTCTACGAATTGCGTATAAGGTTTACAATAATCTTGGATTTATGTATTCAATGAAAGTAAGAAGTGACTGTGAAAAAGAAAGTAGGAAATGCTTACGAGAAAAGAGTTGCGAGGAACTTGATTGCGGGAGAAAAAAAAATGAAGCGCGTGCGAACGGAAGGTCGTGGAAGCGTTCTTCATGCTTGTCGTTTGATTTTCCGTAACGAATGTGGTCGCAAAGGAGAGATCTCTGCGGTGAGATCTCGTGGCTGCCGAAGAAACGGAGGAGGACAGTCTCCTTTGCAGGCGAGAAGAAGCCGTAACGGTCTCCTATAATTATTCATGAATGAATTATCCGCGTAAGTTGTTTGCGTTTGTGTCGCCAAACATGGTGAGCAACGACGTTAAATTTCTGCAAACAAAGCAGAAATTTTGCAAGAGAGACGCGTTGCTCGACGTTGTTTCTTGACAAGTATATTATTTGCAATTACAGATGAAATTTGAATGACACCTCTGGGTAACCACCGGATGTTGCTAATTAAACTCTAATTTTGTTGTTCGCGCATTTGGACTTTCTCACTTATCTTTCTTTGGTTCTCTTGTAATTTTGTAAACGCAGCGCCTCGCCTCCGAGCTTGTTCTCATAGACGCGAACGAGGATCTCGCCAAGGCGGAAGCAGAAGACATCAGCCACGCGGCGGCGTATCTCGGCAATCCGAGGATTATTGGCACCAAAGGTGAGACGAGAGAAAGGTATGAATGAGAAAAACGGCGAGAATTACGCGCGAGTAAACGAGCAATTACCTACGAAACGCGCTTTAATGTGCGGATAAGTAAACCGCGCGCTCGGTTGCGATGATAAGGTCGCCATAAAGGTGACGTGCGCATGTCTGTATTAAGACGTCTTGAAATACTAATAAAATTGAACTTTCACTCGCGATGACTGACGCGTACTAAGCGCCTACGTACTTTGCTCAATTTTGATTAGCAATAAATATTATTTAAAAAAACCGATGAAAATATACTAAAAAGACAGAAGATATTTGAATTATATTTTCGAATATATATATATAAATATAAACTCTTTTCGAGATCGATTGCGTTACACACGATTAATCATACTTAAAAAAATATTTTTACGTCTCGATAGATTATTCTTGCGCCAGAGACGCCGCGGTATGCGTAATCACAGTTGGAAGCCAGTCTCAAGAAGATCAGCAACCGGCTAATTATCTCGATCATAATCTGAAAATTTTCAAGGACGTCATTCCGAACGTGTGCAAGTTCGCGCCAAATAGCGTTCTTCTCATTCTTTCGAAGCCAGGTACGTCTTCGTACGCGTTTCGTTTATCGAAAATTGAACACACGTGACGTGTTCTTGATTTTTCTAATTAACTGACACTGCACATATTTGACGAACAGTAACAAATTAAATCCCTTCGACAAATTTCAAAAATAATCCACGAGTCAGACAGACTGTGGTCTGTGAGACCCACGCGACTTTAAAATCAAATATCTCTGCGAGAAATCAATATTTTTTCAAGTTTGTTTTTTTTTTAATCAAAAGTTCAAACGATTCTGCTTTGATTAAAAACAAAAACAAATTGAAAAATTCTCTAGTAGTTTCAAAGATATTAGTGTTTAAAAAAAAACTAATTTTTACTAGATTACGCCAACATGTAATTTTTTAGTGGGTCCGGAAGACCCATGTCTGTCTGCGAAAGGTTAACATTAACAATAACATTAGCAAATGTTAATTATTTTTCTGTGAAAATCACAATTTTATCATTTCTGAATGCATTAAACAAGAGAGAGAGAGAGAGAGAAAGAGGAGTGAGTCAGTACAAGTTTTAATCACTTGCACATTTTACTGTATGATATTTGAATTATTCTTCCGATTTTTTTATTTAGTCGATATCCTGTCGTATGTTGCCATGAAGCTATCAGGATTTCCACCTAATCGTGTTATAGGACTGGGAACGTTTTTGGATAGTTGTAGATTTCAATACTTTATCGCTCAGAAACTCGGAATTTCGCCGAGCTCGGTCCAAGCGTTAATTATCGGCGAGAGCGGACCGGCTTCTGGTAATTAAGATTAAAATACGTCGTAAATTTCGCTACACTTTGCTCTTTAATTTAGTTGTTATTTTAACACTTCCGCACGTTTCTATTTTTTTTATTTTTATTTTTATTTTATTTTATGTTAATACGTTTTAGTGCCAGTTTGGTCCGCCGTTGCGGTAATGGGTATGCCTTTAAAAGAAATAAACAAAGATATCGGCACGAGAGCGGATCCAGAATCCTGGGGAGATTTGCACACGAAAGTCGTCGATACCGATAAAGAGTTGATTGTGAAAAAAGGTTACCACAGTTGGGCGGTCGGTATCTGCGCGGGCGAAATTGTCGATGCTATCGTGCGCAATACATGCGCTTGCTTTACCGTCTCTACGTTTGTAAAGGTTCATCGATCAAATAGATTAAAATTAATAAACTCTTTATCCTTTGCCTCCTCTGTAATTTCATTGCAAAATGGAAAATAAGGAATATACCTACATTAATCCTCGGACAACGTGTACTCTTCGAAAGACTGTGGCTGGATCGCTTCTGACCTGTACTGAGTCAAAAAAAGTCGTTCCGCGTACATAAATAATAATAATAATAATAATAATAATAATATTGTAATAATAACTTTATTGAACCACAGTAAAAAAACAAAAAATACGTAGCGTACTGAATATATATTTTAACATGTTTATTTTATTTATTTTTTATTATTTAAATAGTTTATTATTTAGTTAACGGACGTGACTTAACAAAAAATTCCATCGGATTTTGAGTGACTCAGCCACCGTCGAACGAAGGGTTAAGACATATGTGTACATTTGACATTTAAACATATACGTATATATCGTGACATTTTGCAACGTTCCTCTCACGTGTTAAAAACAATATTTTAGGGATGCCGCCATGGATTAGAAAAAGATATCTTTATGTCACTGCCGTGTGTAATAGGAAGAAACGGCGTGCAGTCATTTATTCGATTATTGTACACACCCAGGGAGCAAGAGTTGATGACGATATCTTGCCGAAGAATATACGAGTCGCAAAAATCGATTCTCGACAAGATTGAATGAACATCTCACGCTTTTATAGCTATTTTTAACCGTACGTTTTTTGTATTATTAACTAAACACACATTCTTTCTTCTTTCGCACGCAAACATGTGTTTTATCTTGTTTAAAAATACGAGAGAGAGAGGAAAACACCGAGACTGTATCGCGAATCATTTTTATGTGTCGGTTTAATGATCGGAGGATAAGGAATTTCGTCGGAACGCTAGGCGACGTGATGCTCCCGACCCGCGTGACAAAAGACCTTTTACCTCCTACCGTCCGGTTCGTCTAGTCAAGTCGGTGAGTTAAAAAGAAAAATCGGGGGAGTTTGTTTTGTAGAACGACTCGGAGATGGGTTTTATTGCGCGAACTGATGAATAGGGAGTAGTACAAATTGCAAGGGCGTAACTCCGAAGATTTCGGTCCCAATTTGCAAAGATTAATGCGAACCGCTTGTAATTAATTGCTCCGCGTACGGACCGGTAAACTGTGCTTCTAAGAGCACAGATCGTGAATGATAAAACGGTCGCTATTATAAATATAAGGAGTGGTCAGCGATACACCAATCTGTTACAAAATTCGCGTATATGCTGATGTCACGCTTTTTGTCTCTGCCATCCTCCGCATTAGTTTAAGACATTCGTTTCGCGTTTAACTGCGCCCCCCCCCCCCCGCGATCGTTTTCACTAACGAAATATTCCCGACTCACACGAGATCGCGGTTATTATTATTTTACAAGTCTTTTATGTTTTGTGTCTATAAGGTTTATTTTTTCTTTTTTATTTCTAGAAGGAACGTACGAGGTCTAAAGTACGTAATGAATTAATATATTAAACTGAGAATCATCTCGTGCTCTTGAGTCTTTTAAACTTAGTCGATGAATATAATTGGTCGTGTAGAGCCGTTCGCTGGATGTTGTGTGGAAGATATGTCTATATACATATATATACACGTATGTATATATATATAAACAAATTCACATTTTTATGTGAGTTTTTGAATTGTAATTTCAATTCTTTTGAGTCACATAGGATGCTAGATTTGCATCTCGTATATGATGGACCCTCGAATACCCCCCCAAATTAATTTAAAATATTGCGAAAAAACTCCTCAGCCAGGAGTCGAACCTGGAATCTCCGGGTTTCCGGGCCGTCGCCTTCCCTGTTAGGCTACCGAGGCACTTGGAGTTTGTCTCGCAATATTCTGTGCATCTATTAAAGATGTTTTGATACTGTAATATCGCCCTTTTTTCGACAGCGTGAATTTAACAATTAGTATTAAACTGAGAATCATCTCAGGCTCTTGAGTTTTATAGACTTAGTTGATGAATATAATTGGTCGTGTAGAGCCCTCGGTAGCCTAACAGAGAAGGACGGCCCGGAGATTCCGGGTTCGACTCCTGGCTGAAGAGTTTTTTCGCAATATTTTAAATTAAATTGCCAGACGCACGTCAGTGAGCCGCGCGCCTCGTGTGTGTGAGCGCTCAGTGACGTGCGTATGGCTAAAGGTCTGCGCTGATTGGCCTAATTTACTCAATAATTACTCCTTTATTATAAATAATAGAAAAAAATGGTTCAGGACTTTTCGACTCAGTTTTACTCCTTCTACCTGCCTACGAGAGATTGTACGGCAATTCTGGGACACCCTGTATATACAATATATATATAAACATATCTTCCGCACAATTCCGCACATCCAACAAACGGCTCTACACGACCAATTATATTCATCGACTACGTAATGAATATTCAGGATATATGATTGTCAAGGACAACTTCTTTTTTAATTGCTCTTTCTCTTACATTTCAAAAAAAAAAAAAAAAACATTAGGGAATTGCTTCCAACGTTAAAATTGTTTACGTAACGGTCTGGAGATGGGTATAAATAGTCGATTTATCGGAGAAGTTCGGCAGATCAATAAGAGAGTCCAATGAAGCGTTGAGAGGAGACGTCGTTAATCCTTCTGGTTTCTGAAGAACGTACGAAAATCAAACTGATTTTAACAATAACAAAACGAGAAGTACAAACGTTAAAATGAAATATCTGGTGAGATTGTTGTTTGTAAACGTGTTATTGGTGATCATTTTGTCGCTGACGTCTTGTCAGAAAATGGAAAACCTTCCGTCAACGAGTATCGAGAGCGGTCGTCCTGTTCCCGCTTACATTATAAACGTACCAGACAGAAAAAGCAAATGTCCACAAAATCAGCTGCAGGATAAAAATGGAAGGTGTCGACCAGTGGTGTAATTGTTTATAAAGGTAATTGTGTTTCTCTTAATGTGTGTTATCGTGCGAGAGAAAGAAATTTTTTGTCTCTATATAAAATGATTTTAATCTTGTGCGAATATGTAGAAATTAGATAAAAAATTTTAGAAAAGCAAGAAAAGAGAAAAAATATATTACATTTCGTAATAATACGAGCTGTAATTAATTAGAAACGGAGTGATGATGGTTCCGAAGTAATTAAATAACATTTTTCTGTGTATATATTTTATAAAATATTTACTTAGTCAAAAATTATTTGCTTTTGATAGTTCTTTTGTTTAATATTAATTAACGTATTAATTAACCTATTCTTTTTTTACACAGGCTAACCAACACTCACGCTTCGCGCATAAAACGATATGAATCACAATTTTTGTTATTTCGTGCTTGCAAACGCAAATCACATAAGAAAACGGTAGCCATGGGATAACTCACATATAAAGGTTTTACAAGCAAGTAAATGCAGCAGATGCTGTGTAAAACTAAGTTTTATAATTATAAGCGATTTTTATACAAGTTAATTGCTATCTCACTTCGATTACAATAAAAATGAAATATGAGTATCACTTTGTATTTTCAGTCCGTATCTTTACACCCGCATAGTGTTACGACCGTCTGGAACTTGAATTTGCAAATATGTGAATTTAAAATATTCATAATATGAATTTAAAAATATTGCGTTCAAATAAATAAACGTACATATATATATATATATATATATATGTACACAATAAGAATCCACTGTACATTAAAATGTGCGGGGGGAGGGAGGAGGATGTAAGGGGACCGCGTTTTTGTGCTCTGCAAAATTTGCGCGCCCGCATCGTGCTAACAGACACAAACCAGTTCGAAAACGCATCTGCATGATCGGCTATTGAAAATTCATGGTGGTTTATACGATCGCGAAGTGGGAGGATCCGAAGAGACATCATTCGATGGGAGGAACGCGGCGGTAGGTACTGCTAATTACTTGTTCCTTTTATTCCAAGTGAACATAATGCCTTGAAAGCAGACTCGGAGCGAAGAGGTCGTCAATGCAGAAAAAGAAAGACGTGCAAAGAGAGAGAAGGGAAGTAAAAAGGAAGATATTGCCGCGTGCGAAAAAAACATCGGTAGCGAGAGAGTTATTTAAAAGAGGTAGAAGGATGGGAAAGTGCATTATTCAGAGCTTTAAAGTCATCCGTACGCCATTAGAAACGCGGCATGCATGTGCGTATCGGGGGGTCCCCGCGCTCGTAAAATTGCCGTGGCAAGTCGAAGTCTTGATTGAGTTACGATTTAATTAGTCCCCCGTACAGGGGCAATCAGTAATTAAGATATTCGCCTAATCAACGGGCGTGGTTTCTCCTCTGTCTCTCTCTCTTTTTTTTTCTTTTTTCTTCAGTGAGTCTGTTTCACTGTCCAACTTTTTTTCAACCGTGTGTTCTGTTTAATGTTTATTTTAAGACCGACAATGAATTTCTCATTTCTCGATGAGAAAAATTCCGGACAATGTCGGCATCTATCGGAAAAAGAACGAACGAGTGCGCGTGCATCTACTAAAAACGAATTGATCGATCGCGTTTCTTGTCACAAAAACGTTTGTTTTTTGTTTTTTTTTTGCAAAACATATTTTCCAACTTGTAATTTTGCTTTAACTAATTTGCACGCAAAGATCATTTTTAACACATATACAAAAAAAGAAATATACGCGAAAAAAGAATTTACTGTATGGCCAGCAAGACAACTTTGCTAAACCTACTGAATCTTTGCCAACAAAATGTTTTGTTGGCAAAATAATAAATTTAATTAAGGATTGACCAAATTTTTCTTGTTGGCCATACAGTAATTAATTTTCTTGTTATTTCAACGATCTTTTCCCGTGTCAGTCAGTGTTGAAAAATAATACATGTTTAAATTTGCAGTCTTGTTAATGATATATTTATCTTATATTTAATGATAATTTATGTTTTACGAATTGAACGCGATGCAAATAAACGCATATATATATATATATATATACATAGTTCTTTCTGTAACTGCACTTTCCTTTACCGTTCGCGAAAGACACGCAGCTTAATCGAATCCAGACGTACGTGCGTTCGTATGTAATTTAGCTTGGCTTGCGATGGATCACGAAAGTGCGTACTCGGTTTGAACATGATTGCAATTTCTTAATATGATACGTGATGAAACTCTATGCAATAAAACTCTGCTTCATCTTGAGATTTATTACGGCGATAAATGAAAACCTCGCTTTTTAGAGTAATTTCCAAATAAGATGAGATAAAACTTATAAGAGACGATCTCCATCTAATGCGCATCGCTGTGTGTAAATTGTCGCGATTAACGAAACGGAAGTAAATATAACGTTACTCTTCATCTTTACTTATTTTTTTCTTTTTTTCATTATATTTGATCAAATATAGTTTTCGTGGATTAGTTCGTGATTTTCTCGACAAAATAAAATTTAAATGTTCGATAAAGCGCATCGCGCTCTGGAGTTCCGGTTTACGAGTCACGATATCAAGAAGATGATCGAAGTAGTAGGGATAATAATCCTAGTGCACACGTAGCAGCTATAAGTAACTAGGATAATTTCGCAAAACGGGCCTGCGTCGACATCGGGGCCTGATTTATAACAGGATCCTGGATTACCGAGATGAGAACGGTTAGATTCTACCTTATCGTCAACGGTAAAGCAACACATTGGGGCCTCATATCGGGAAAGAGCCCGGATCGGAGCCCGAACACGCGGGGAGAGATCATCCTTGATTCCCGGCGGTTTCCAGATTGCCTCGACGATTATGCCCCGATTCGAGATTTACGGGCGAGCGAAGCCGTCCCGAACGTATCGGCATTTATTTATAGTTACGGGGAATCTCTCTCACTTATATTACAATCCACTCGCTCGCTCTCGTCGCTCTCTCACTCTCACTCTCACTCTCACTCTCTCTCTCTTTCTCTCTCTCTCTCTCTCTCTCTCTCTCTCTCTCTCTCTCTCTC